GCTATCTATGATTATGCCGCACGTGACCCATTAGAGATATCTCCGCACTGACACTGCATTGCAATTCTTCGTACAAGAACCCCAACATAATTCAAACTATATTAGAGTTGCATTCGGCGCGGATTGGCGTGGATGGAAGGTGCCCTCCATCCACGCCGCGCGGATTTTGGATGCTCAGGCTTGGATCCGCATCCCCGCCAAAATCCGCGTGGATTGGCGCGGATTAAGCCGCAAAAGCCGCAAGATTCCGCACTATGCCTATTTAGGCATACGCTAAACTAACTGCAGTTAAAGTCGGATTGGATTGGATTCGGATTCTCCAAAGTCCAAGCCGCATTGTAATCTGTGACAACAGTAATATACAACAACATCAAGCATTGAATACACTTGATATTCCATTACATTTAAGATTATTTGAAATTTACAACATCTATATCAGTCTCATTCCGCTATTAACCATCTCCGAAGCAAAAATGATCATATATCTGTATACATTCTGAAGTTGCACAATGATTCATATTTACTCCATAATGTCTACCCATATATATATATATATGTACTCGGCATTCTGTAGTATATGAGATGAATTAGTTTATTGGCTGCTGAATGCTGATTACATCCATATCCAATTAAAACCTATAACTGAAAGGCATTGCATTGCATATTATTATTAAATCCAACTGTAGTTTGATTAAAAATTGTTGTATAACTGCAAGAAATTGGCAAACTGCTATCTACTCCGTAGTATTTACTACTACAGAGTACGGACTACGGAGTAGTTAACTAACTAGTTATGTAGATTGTGGTTACATAATATCAACCAACCAATCATGATAATGATATTTCTTTCTTTCACATTAAAGGCCAACAATGTTTTCTTTCATCAAATTCATGCAATAAACAAAGGAAGTAGAGTGCATTATTCACTTCATTGATGCCATGGCCAAAGCTGCCATATTTCTCTCCAACTGTAGTGCATTGTAGAATTCTCTTTCTCTCTAAGTCACAGATTTTCGCAAAAACCCCCCAATTATGAAAACACAGATTTTCGCTTTTACCCCCTTCCATTGAAATCTTAATCAAACTACAGTTTAATCCTTTGCACCATGCCAGCACGAAAGAAAATCAAAGAAGAATCACTGTCCAATCGCCTTGTTGATGATCACATATTGAATGAGTTGCAGGACACATATCTCAGTACACTGGTGTTGAGTGTATATGATGTCTTGACAATCTGGGGCAAGGGCATGAATAACATGAATCAGAACCACACCTTGGATACAAACCTCGTTCAGCAACTTGAAGCAGCTCTCAAAGTGGGAGCAAGATGGATGGCCAATGAGCATGCTCTCAAAGCCTCAATCTCCACTGAAAAATTCTACTACATCCTCCGCAAACACATCATTTCCCAATGTCGAATTGCTGGTGCCGATGATCTGCAAAATAATGGTGATGATCTGAAAGATGGCAACATTGAGGATCAGGTGCAGGCACTACAAGAAAAATCATGGACAAAAGTAATTCAACCACCAATATCCAACTGCAGTTTGATTTATACTAATTTCCATATAGGATGAGATTATCAGTATTCCAGACCTTCCCAATGACCTTGATGATGTGCCAATCATATGGAATGGCCAACATCGCATGCACGCCCTTTGGGGCCTCTTGGACCGGCAAAGCTCTCTGGCAGGCGGCACAGCGGGTGGTGGTAATTCAGGTGAACCAGAAGAGGAAAGTGGGGATGGAATCCCAATGCCTAAACACCAGGTATGGAAAAAAACAAACTGCAGTTTGAGCTATCTCTTTACTAATGAGTACTGTAGGATGCCTTGTGGCTCATTGACTTGTATGCAGAAGAAAGGCTCACAGATACTCTCATGGCTGCACTTGCTGCAAATCATGACACAATCCACTGGGTGAACTCTGAAGGCTACAATGCCTACCAGATAATCTACCAGTTCTTGTTGCTTCCCACAGACACCCAGATGAAACTCCACAAATCCTCAGAGTTTAACTCATGGCTCTTCAATGTCTTTGGCTTAAAGTTGAACTTCCCAGCTTGAATCCTCGCACTTGTTTGCAATGAGACATGGCGGGATTACACTTTCTGCTTTTGTCAAACTCGCTATGGCGAGAAAATGTTTGCATGGAGTGTAATGGCAAGCATAATGAGTGCAAAACTGGACTTTGTATGTTGATCCCCCCTCTAAACAGAGTAATGGACTCCACTGCTAACAACATTTAGATTTGGCTACCTGAATTTGACCACTTCTTTACTTTTGGAAAGACAGTCTTCAGCCAACACATCAACACAATCAGTTATGATGACTGGCAGCTTCTGCTGGAGGCTGAGCAGAAATGCTCAGTCTTTAACCTACACCTACTGTTCTTTCCGCAGGTAGAAGACTACTGGGAAGATGATGGAACACCATGCAAGACTCCTTGGGCACTACCACCTCAGTTTCAGAAGCATGTAAGTCTGCCTAAACTGAACATTGAGACTGAAGACCTAGACCCCAGCTGCACAACTTGCCGGCCAGGTTTGCTGGAGCATCTGGAGCCAGCAGATTATGTCCAGGTTTGGTGCAACCTATCTGAAAATGACAGCTTGAGCTGCCCTCATTGGTAAGACACATACTATCAAACTGCAGTTGAATTATGCTAATTAATAATAGGAGAGACATCTGCAAAATGGAACAAAGGGTCTCTGCAAAGGTCAAATTTGTTCTGCAGCATATCCTTTCATGGACCTCATTGAAGTGGAAGTACCCTGCACAAGCATCAAAAGAGTATTGCACCTTTGACTGGGTGAATGAAGTTGAGCATGTGTTGTTTACTGCAAACAATGTGGACCCCCAAACTCGCCCCTTCTCTGATGCAGACAACAGACATTCACTTGCAAAGGAGTTCATTTTGGGTGTTTGGGAAGAGGTGAAGGCAGAGAATATGTGGCAAGAAAAGGGCATAGATGGACAGGTATTAGCCACATATCCAACTGCAGTTTGATCTATGCTGATGTGTATAGCTGTCACCCCCACCACAGGACCTTCAGGACAGATGAAACAGTGAGAATGTGAAGAAGTACCTAGAGCGCTTCCAACACACTCATTGGGCTCGCATGGTACAAATGGTGGTTGAAAAGGCAGGTCCTTGTCTCATCAGCGGAATGGCGGTATTCAATGATACAGAGAAGCTTGTAAGTTTGATTAGTGTTGCCATTGATCCCAGAATTGCAACATGCAAAATGCTAATTTCTCAATCAGGAAGATTCCCTGGCCCCATACTCCCTCTGGGGGTTGATTATCTCAACCTCCAACTTCAAGGAGAACTTAGTTCTCCAGAAAGTTCCTTCACTGAATACAGCAGATATCCGGGCGTCATTGATAGAGGAGGGGGAAATCTTTGGCACACTCTGGCATTACTGCCAGTTAAAGCGTGTAATGATTGACACTTGCAAGCATGGTTGGGGCAAGAATCAGAAGAATGGAAAGGATGTGGTGATTTGCAGTGCAGTAAGTGGACCACATTCATCATGATTTGAACTACAGTTTGATTAAACTTTCTACTAGGAGGAGTATGACACAGCCATAGAGGTGCTTGAAGGTTGTGCACTTGTCCTTGCTCAGTATGGATTCAAGCTGGAGCCAGACAACCACCATGAAGACCTGGCACAGTACACCCTAAATCATCTGGAGGAACAGCATGAGCCTGCTCCTCCTCTTCCAGGATTTCTCCAACAACGTCCTCCTGAATACGTCTCATATGATGACATGGTCCATTCCCAATGGACAGAAATGAGGCGTCTGGTGGTGAAGAATATGCTTTACAAGCCAGTATCCAAGAAACAGAAGCGCAGTAAGTTTCCAACTGCAGTTGGATTATTGTTGATCATAATAACTGATGGTTGCACAGACACCCAGTACCAGCTGCCATCAAGTCTATGTCATAAGGGAAGCACAAAACTCACTGAAAAGGAGAAGAGATTGCATCATTGAGAACTTGCAAAATTGACAAAGGAATTGCAGACTGCAATTGATGCAGATAATGAGGCTCACTGCCAGAACATCATTGAAGATGTTAAAAAACTGCATGAAGAATATGGTTATGAAATGGTGGATGAGGATGAATGTGAAGATGGACAGATTGAGAAAGTTTAGGTCTGCCGTCTGGCTGTTTTGCAGTGGATAGTGGGCATGCTAATATGGTGTACCATGGTGTCTCTTTTTTTTCTCTGCTCTCCTTCCCCTTTGGGTATGCTTGGCATTGGTGTTCCATTGGAACCAATGGAGGTGAGCATGAGGAAATGATTACATCTGGAAGGTATCAACCCCTATATCGTCATGTTTTTTTTGTTTGGATTTCCTTTTTTTGCATTCAGTGTTGGTTGGAGCCAGGGAGCATGGGTGACCTGGAATGGCATTATCCTGAATACCCTTGTTGCCTTTGTATCTAACATTTTTCAATTCAACTGGAGTTTGATTTTGCATTTTCAGTGCTAAGTTTGTGCCTAAGTGCCAAAGTGTTTTCAGACTTACAATGTCATCTCACTTTTCCTCTGATCCTCCCACACAAGCTTCCTCTTCATGATACAAATCCCCTCCGAGTCTCCATTCTTCATTTTATGATACAGAACCCTCTACACCAACACCAATTAATCCTGCAAATTCTGCTGGACCCCCTTCTGTCATCTCAATCCAAAGTTCCAATTCCAACCGCACTTTTCCCCCTGACATTGAGATCCTGGAATGACCTGGAGGTGGCTTCAAGGTTGGAAAATTTCCAACTGCAGAGTCATATGAGAGTTATGATGAGTTTCTTCAGGTACAGGATGTCTTTTTGACATGGTGGAAAGAGAGTCCATATGCAAAGCAAAAGAAATGCAAACCAAGTTGGGGAGGGGATAAACAATCCCCTGGATGGTCTGCCTTTGATGAGGTTGCCAATATTGATGGTGGTCCAAAGATCCAGTGTGACTATTGCTTCCATATACTTACACATCCAAATTTTGAATGCAAGGGCACTCAGACAATGAACAGTCATCCTTTTACCAAAAAGTGTGGATGTGCTGCTTCAAAGGGGAAAAAACCAGCAAAGCAAACCATTGCAGACTTTCTCTCTGTAAGATCCCAAGCAATGAGGTTTTAACTGCAGTTTGATATCAAACACTAACAAAGGTGTCTTTTTACCCTTTAGCATGATGATCTGGCAAAACCCTGTGTCCATACTGCTGAGTCCTTCCTTGATCAAGTTGTCCATTGCTTCATGGCTTGTCATCTTCCCTTCTGCATGGTTGACAATATCCAATTCTGTTGAATGCTGCATATGATTGCAGGTCCTAACAATCACATTGTGATTCCCAATCACAACTGAATACATGAACGCCTTATGGAACTTTCTCTTGAGAGTCAGAACAAAGTCATTGCAGAGATTCCTGAGGATGTGAAAGTGTCAATTGCTCTTGACTGCTGGACAAGTCCTGATCAAAAGCCATTCATGGCTATCACTGGATATTTCATAACAGAGAACTTCCACTACCATGAAGTTCTCCTTGGTTTCCCCCCTGTGCCCGGCTCACACACAGGCTCAAATCTTGCAGAGATAGTCATTCAGACAATCAAGCGCCATGATCTATGCCATTGCATTCTAGGGATGACCACAGATAATGTGAGTACACATACTTCAACTGCAGTTTGATTTCCTGTGCTAACACTTGACTATTCAGGCAGGGAATAACTGAACAATGTACATTGATGTTGCTGGCCACTTGATCAATGTTGATGATCCAGAGGAAAGAAAAAAGCTACAAGATGTTCTGTCAAATACACCTGACTTATTTTCTGAGGCTTATGATTCTGAGTTCTATCAACTGCTTCATGCACTGCATCACCTGCCTTGTCTCACTCATGTTATTCAGCTTGCCGTTCATGCCTTTCTACAAGAACTCTGAATTCAGAGTAACAGTGATGATCCAACTGCACAATGAGATGATAAGGATAAGACTATTTGAGAAACTGGGCTATTGTGAACATTAGAAAAGGTGTGTTAAGGGACCTAATATGTATTCTATTTCTGCACTCCTACTAACCTTCCTCTGAGATATGGAAAATTGTACAATTCATCAATGCCAGTCCACAATGACATCAGCAATTCCGCCGATTTCAGGAAATGGATCAGAACAATGGAAGGGCTCACCCTCTCACTCTATCCTATGGGGGTCGGCGAAGTCACGGTGACTGGAGTTAGGGTTCCCGTCTTAACTATGGGCGGGAAAAGTGGGGCGGGGGCTGACTT